AGTTCCGTAATGTTTTGTTATAGAACAAATAGTAAACATTTCCTTTTATTTATATTTTAAAATGAAATAGAATAAAATTTTGATCTCAAGAATAAGTATAGTAAAATAACTGTTCCCAAGTTTAGGAATTTCTGAGTGTATAAATATTTACTTGAAATAACAACTCCAAAAATTGAATTAAACATCCAACTTATGTGTGTCAGTAATGGTCTTCTATGTATTCACCAAGGACGAGAACTAACCAGGCCATTTTTATCACAAAAATTGGGCTATTTTTATCATAAATAATTGAATATTTTTTGAGCTGTCAACTACCTTTGGTCACCAAAAAGACCAATATTAAATATTATATTATTATCATAATACGCATAGGAGTACGAGATTAATAGTTCAAGAGCCCAGAGCCGCCAGACACAACTTATTTTCTAAAGGACAGAATATGTGGGATTGAGTAGCACTTATAGGTACTATGAACGTATGTATACTCGTTAAGTTGGGTAGCCGGCCAGTTGACTGTTATTTGTAAATAACGGTTTTTCCCATTATGGGAAAAACCTAATCCCATTTCTACTCTAGCCTGGAGTAGACTGTAAGTTTAAGAGGGGGAAATAGATATCTCACTCACTCTCAAACGCATGCATAGTACCCTCGCGCTCATACTCACGGAAAAACTATTATTGCGTCTGGGGGGATGTTTGGCCGGTGCGATTGGTCTGGCTGAGCACACGTAGTTATGAAATAGTCTCCCTAATAACATGTATAAAAATCAAGCGTTAGAAAAAAAGTTAAAGTACTTTTTAAGCTTTCGCACCTGGTGTCGGTTAATTGGCCGTCTGCCCAACTTAGCTGATATACATACGTTCATAGTACATATAAGTGCTACACAATCCCACATATTCTGTCCTTTAGAAAATAAGTTGTGTCTGGCGGCTCTGGGCTCTTGGACTATAAATATTGATTTAGATTTTCTACTGCTATACATTTTTTTCCTATCTAGGTAAATGCGGTTTTAAAATCTAGTTACATACCTTCGAATGTCGTAGCCAGGTGTATCAAATTGTTATTGTTCAAAAATTGCTCCATTTTAGATTGCACAATCACAAATTATTCACAAACGAACCAATTGCAAAATGACTGGAATAGTTTGGTTACCGGCCGGCACTTCCACTGCCACCTTGTGCGTGGCGCGTGCTGGCTGGGGATGACGGCGACGCCAGGCGCAAGCGCAAAAGTAGCAATTACGCATTTTATTGAATAAAGATTTCAAATAATTGAACCAAGCCTTTATTAATTTCATCACCAATACAAATAATTGAATACCAGTTCCGTGCTATTGAAACACGTTTGCTGTAATATATGTAATTACTGGATGTTCTTAAATCATATTGGTGCATTTACTTATAAATAATGTATTAAATTGTACAGGCAACTCCATACATATTTACATAGAGTTTACTTATATATCAAATACATGACATATTTCAATAAAGTCTATAATACTTTAAATTAATAAAATATAGGTCAACTATTTCTTTAAATTAGTTTGAATTGACAAATTTGCTTAAATTGAATCGACTTTATTTAGGTGAATAACGTATATATTTTTTTCAATTAAATAGTTGTCAATTACACGATTTATTTGTTTCTCCCTTTCGGATTTTTTTCTGTGTATAGCAATAAGTAACATGATGGTTAACAATTAGGTATAAGTGAAACACAATATCCAACAAATAGCCATCGCGACTTCTCTCACAGCACACAACTCTTTAGACAAAATTTTCGATCACATCTGTGCACATTTCCGGTGGTATCTTACGAATAATGCGCCGAATCACATCTTTCAACTCTTGAATTGTTTGGGGATTGTTCACCTACGCTTTTATTTTGATGTAAGCGGCGCAACATGTCACACAGCAAGATAAACCATTGACTTATTCCAAACAGGGTTTGAAGATAAACTTCTTTCGAGAAATGAGGATGTCAATTGGCCGCCTAGATCTTGCGATCTAACGCCACTAGACTCTTATTTGTGGGGTGACATCAAAAGCAAAGCGTATGTTAATGATCCCCCAAACAATTCAAGAGTTGAAAGATGAGATTCGGCGGATATTCGTGGGATACGACGGAAAATGTGCACAGATGTGATCGAAAATTTTGGTAAAATAATTGTGTGCTGTGAGAGAAGTCGTGGCGGCCATTTGTTGGATATTGCATTTCACGTAAAATTGTGAACGATTATGTTACTTATTGCTTTAAAGTATTAAATGTTTCTTAGTTTCCTTTTCGTTTGAATTGAGAAAAACATTCGGAAACTCTTATCAGAACACCTTATATATTTTTGTATGACTCTGTATAATATGTTCTGAGTGTGTATTCACATGCGCCATTCTTATAGTGTTTGTTTCGAAAAGAAATAATGACGTCAATAGCTATATTTTACATAAAATCGTATAACTCATGATAAAATCGTAGGCGACTGCGAAATTCAAAAAATCTCAAAAACGTCCCGAGGTACTAAGGTACTCTCCTAAACTGCATACCAAAAATCTACTCAACCCTCCCTCCGGCAGAATGGGGTAAACCCAAACTTTCGCACAAAAATCGCCAACTTATGTTTCACCCTGTATCTTTTAGCAGGTGGCCGGAAATATGTTAAGAACTAGAAATTAAATAGCAATTAGAGCATCCTTTCACTCCTGAAAATTTGAACAAAATCGGCCTGCTAGATTTTGAGTTATAGCTTTTCAAAAAGTGACCAAAAATTGGGGTGTTCGAGTTCGATTGACGCGTAGTTTAGTAGGTACCTATATTATATAATAAGTATGGTAAGTAGGTTATTACCGCATGCGGTTAGGCGAGGTTTGCAATATCTGAGGGTATTATATACCGTCAAAGATACCGTACAGTATACAGTATCATATACAGTATTTTATCTACAACCGTACGGTGAAGAATACCGAAAGAAGTTTAAAATTATAGAAAATAAAGTTGCGTCTCTGGCTGGCTGTCACGTTTGACAGTAGACGAGTAGAATTTCGCTCGTCGTTCAGTCAACTTTACATTTCACTATGATGTGAAGTAACTATACCGCATACTATATACAGTCGACTTTACCGCACACCATGCGATAAAGTAGCTTTACCGTATAGTGTGCGGTAAAGTGCACTTTACCGCACGCTCATAGATAAAATTATTATAAAGTAACTGGAAACATTTGAAACCGCGTAATCTTTTAAAAGCATCATCAGTTAATGATTTATAGGAGTTATTGGACCAAAATGCTGTTGTTTTGATCTGGCGTAAACTTTTTGCATACAGTTTAGATAGAAAGTTATAAACCCAAGATAAAACACTTTTTTTAGAGATAAGTTGGCAACTTTTAGGCCCATTGTCACAATGTGCAGTTAACCTTAAGGTTAAGGTAACTTATACCCTAAGGTTACCATAGAAGTACCATTTCACCAAACTTTTGTGACATCTGGTTAAGTTCACCGGAGTTTAAACTTTTTTTCTAGGGTTGGTAACGTGAATGATGTGTTCAGTGTCCGTTTACAGCAGTGGCCAGTGAAATAAAAAATAAAAAAAGAATGACATAATATGCCAACTTCCAACTTGTTATTATCATAGAATGTCATTATCTGTATGTCATTATTTATTCCTTTTGATTTGAATAAAAGATCTTCAAGCCAAGTACCTCTATACTTTGAATTATACTTGGGTATTCCAAGTGTTAACAAACAAGGAAATTTGAAGCTATTTAAATTGTTATTCAGTAATTTTTTGGAATAAGGCCAGCAGGTTTTTTTGTGTTGAAATAACTGTCTTTCAAGCAGCGCGTACCTAGTATTTTATTACCATGACTGTTGCTGACCCCAGTGCAGTAGTAATATAGGTACAATTCCTGTTTTTTTTTTCAGCACCAAGAACAAGCATTACTATTGAAAGTTCTTCTACTACTGCCGTTGTTCCAGATCAATCTAGTTTCTCCAGCGTAGGTTTTTTGTGAAATAAAATTACTAATATTTATGTATACCTACCGCGTTTTATTGATAAATTCAAAAATTTAGGTCCTGATTCTAAGTACATTTTGATACTACAAACTTTGATACTACTGTATTTGGCCGGAGTCTAAAACCTAGCAAAAAAACTCTTGCCCATCATGTGTTTCAAAATAATTAGATCTCTCTCTAAAAACTCTTGCTTTGGGAGCCCTATATCTCCAACTTCAAATACCCCATCATCACTGTAGTCACTTCTTATGCGTTTATAATATTATATCATATTCTTGTTTTAAAATATACGAATTTTTCATTAAAAAACATACAGTAGTTGTAGGTTATGTTTTGAGAAAACCTAGGGTAAACCCAAACATGAAGCGCTGGAAAAGTATACTGGCGGTTAACCAAAAGATTTTGGTATACCTTAGATTATGGAACGAAATTTTACTAGTTAACCCTAATCTGTCAGACATTTTCTGGTCACCGTCGATTGTGATAATGGGCCTTAGTGTGTTTGACTTGCGCAGATGATTACAAAACAACTTAAAATAGTGGTGAGTACGCGCGAAAACATTGAAAATTTAAAGGAATACACTCGAGAATACATGAGAATATAAAGGAAAATATATGAATAAATAAAAATACATAGGACATACATAAGTATACATTGGATTACCTACATGGGAGTACATATTATGGGATTACATGAGGCTTGTACACTGGAATACATTCCCGGTTGACCTCTCGAATAATCCGTTTAAAAAGTATCATATTTTAGTGTTTTCTTCCTATGATTCAGAAATGATTTTGCTCAAAAATCTATGTATTCTCAGCTCATAGTCATTAGGTTGCAGAGGCGTTGAAAGCTGCTTATCGAAAACAAGATTTTGGCTGAGTGAACCTGCTGCGCTTAAGCGACGATCGAACTTACAAAGCTGAATTTTTCAAAATGATATGCAGTGTTCCGTCATATATTCAGAAACCGTCTCTATTTTTTTCCAGGTGCAGAATGGAAACTGCTAACGGAAGACGAAAAAAGGCCATTCATCGACGAGGCGAAGCGTCTGAGGGCGATGCACATGAAAGAGCATCCAGATTACAAATACAGGCCCCGTAGGAAACCGAAAACTCTCAGGAAGGAAGGATATCCATATTCTATTCCTTATCCTTCGGTCCCTATGGATGCTTTAAGAGCAGGTTAGTAAGCATTTGATTACAAAATATATTTTTGATTTAAATAATAATAATATTTAAACTACTTTCAAATAATATTCGCAGAAATTTTTGTATAGGCTTTTGTTAACGATCGAAAATTGAAAATTCAATTTTAAATATTAACGTTCAGCATATACCTTTTCAGCTTTTGTTCGTACAGTTTTCATGATACGCTGCCATGTGCGTGTAAAAGCTTTTCGGAATAATCAGTTTTAAAAACACACACAGGATTCTATTATTTGGAATAAAATTTTATTTTATTATTTTACGAGCCCACTCGATGTAAATTTAATTATTATTTAAAATTGACGTCACCGGCTCTTCATTAAAATTCAAGCGACCAAAATGAATTTAATAAATTTTTGTCAGTTAATCAGGCGAGAATATCATCAAAAATCATTTTGTTTTCATAGAAGAAATTTTTCGAATGGTTTTGTTTTGACACTGAATGTCCTGTAGACTGTAGAAATAGATAAAATATCAACTTTTTGCTAAATAGGAGACTTCTTATGGAAATACTTATGCCATCTTGTGTTACTTGATCAGTTAAAGTAGGTTTTCTGGTGCCAGGACGACTGCTGCATTGTTTTCCGCAAGCTTGTCAGTATTCTGCTGTTCGTTTTAGTAGTGGACCTGTTCTACCGTTTTGATTCGTTGTTTAAATCTCCAGTAGTGACCGTTGGACATCTACCTTTTGACAAATGAATAACATCTTCTTCCTGAAATTTATTCTTTCAGCAGACGTAATCTTAGCTTGCCGATTCAGTGTTAGGTTCGTACGGTAATAGCTTCTAGCTGCTCATCTCTGACACCAATGAGATGCTGGTTGAGGCCATGTTTGAGCAGGAGTTTCATATCCTTTGCCAGTAGCTCAGTTTCCTGATATGGCCTGTTAAGGCGAAGCGAGGAGCGTTTTCAGATAATTTAGTATTCGGAAAAGCTGTGATATGGGGTTGATGGTTTCCTCGAGATCTCAGACATCTAAATACTCTAGGTGTGGGCGAATAGCGCTGGCGCTGTGAAAGCCAGTTTTCTTTTAATGTTAATCATCAAAACTTAGTTATGTACCCAGGAGCATTGGGATGGGCTGGGCAGCTTCGTCCTCTTTGAATTCATCCTTGTAACCTCAGCTTCATCGATATAATTTGAGGCTAATTCGTCGAATCTTTGCCTACGGAAACGCCCGTGAAGACATTATGATTATTTTCTTCGTTTATCTTATACTTTTGGTACCCTTATCCATCTTTCCTAATAATTCTTATAACAGTTTTCTCCTTGATAGCGATCGAACTTGTATAGGATGTCTCATTTTCTTCCAAGCTTTTTCCAACTGTACTTCAGTCGTCCCCATTGTCTGTTACAATCTATCGAAAATTTAGTCCCTTTTTCTTTCTGCATCCTATTATATAAACAGTAGATGAACAGTCCAAACATATATTGTGCATCTGCATCTACCTATATCGATAACTAAATCATAATGCAAGAAGACAGACTGATAGGGACATTGAGTAAATCAGGAATATAGCGAAAAACATAGATAAGAAAATTAAATACATTTGAATTTGAAGTAATTTAAACAAAAGTTACTATGTTAGGAAGCTTAAAACCGAGGACAAACAAAAAATAAAGTCGAAAGAAATTAATAAATAAATGAATTCACCCACCTACATCCTACCTACTTATGAGAATAAAGACAAATACGAAAATTTTATGTTTCTCTTCTATCAAAACTTGAATTCAAAAGTTGAAACGAGAGTTAAATTATTTAATAGTTATTTATACGCCAACTGGGTTAAATGAATGTTTATTCATGAGAAGAAAGTTTAACCCACGAGCCCTAGCGAGTGGATTAATTTTCTTCGAATGAATAAACATTTTAACTCACGTGATGTATACAAAATTTTATCCCATTTTGTGGAAATTTAGAAAATAAAGTACAAGGAAAAATGCCGGGAGTGAGTTAAAAGTATTTCAAATCACTGAGGATTCAGATTTTTAGTTGGGCAGAGTGACTTAAAATGCCAGGAGTGAGTTAAAATGTTTTCAAATCACTGAGGTGATAAACGTCTACTTACCTTTATTGTTATGCATTCAATAATGTCATTTTTAAACGTCAAAATGGGATAAAAAAATATAATTAAAAAATAGCTATTTATACAATAAGTTACGAAATGAGCGTCTTTTAGGCACGCGACGTGAAAATTGTCCAACGAGGCAAAGCCGAGTTGGACAACACGTCGATTGACTAAAAGATATCATTTCGTAACGTATTGTATACAAGATTTTTTCTACTGGCTTTTCATAATAAAAAAACACAATTTTATTTCATGTGAATAAGCCAATTACGCCCAAAATCTTTGTTACCTGCTTTTGCTTAACACCTGAAACTTTTCATGCGATTTTTTTTTAAGATTCGACATCAGTAATTAAAATCCTAGAAAGTAGGTACCTAACTATACAAAAAGTTCTGTTTTGAGTAGGTAACCCAAACGTTCAATTCAATAATTTAATTTTTAATATTCATAATAAATACAGATCAAAATTCAAATCTGTGTTTAGTGTGTTTTTTATTTCTGAACAATGAATGACACTTTTAGACACTAGTGCTTAAAAATCACTTTTACGCACCTAAAAGTCACTTTTACGCATTCAAAAGTCACTTTTACGCACTGAGTGCTTAAAAGTAACTTTCACGCACTCAGTGCTTAAAAGATTGTTGTTTTAAAACTAAAATGACAATCGAAAAGTTGTTATCATGAAACGTCAGTAGAAAAATGTCTATATCTCACTATTGACACAAGTTTCAAAAATTCAAAACACATCAGATATTACCTTTCACCTGAGGTTTTCACTCTTTTCCAAATGCAGGTTTCAGCAAGAGATTTATTTGATATGAACCTTTGCTTTAGCTTGTGCCTTTTTTCATGTTTTCAAAGTTGTCTTATTTTATTTTGTATGATATGGCAGTAGAATAAAACGTAACTAGTTAATAAAAACTTTTTGAATTTTTATCAAATATTCAAAACTTCTTGCTTTTCCAAATAATCCGAATCGTTTTCCATAATATGGAAAAGGTGATAATACAAATACCATGTTATGGAAAACCCGACCTCTGTTTGTCAGCAATTTATTACCATAATCCACCCAAAAAACACACACATACAACACGCCACACTAAATCCCTGGCACAGAATGCTTATCAGCTTATCATCAAGGCTTCGTTCCATTGGACGAAAATTAGAATATAATACAGAGCGCGAGTCTCTATTAGTCCGCCTTTTTTATACAGGATTATCAAGAATATGCATTTTCTCTTTCTAGCTCGTTTATGAGACAGGGCCTTACGATTATTCATGAAATTCGTGTTTGATTGTGTAGTAGAGATAACCTTGAAATAATATTCCAAATTGCTCAAATTAGTTTAATGAATGTTTTAATTTCATGTCCAAGGCTAAATTTTGTTTAGTCTATCTTGAAATTTCATTAGGTAGGTATCATATTTTAGATTTTGTATTTATTTCTTCTACATTTTCAAGATATTTTAGATATTTTCCATGTGTTAAACTTCTTTCACTAGGTACTTAATTTTAAAGCCCGGGTCCATCAGGTATGTTAATTACATTTCACATAATTTTATTGTCACCCAGGCCGAACAATGGCCAGATAATGACGCATTGTTTCTAAAATAACTTTACGTCACTTTCCAATGCTTTTCAATAACGTAAAATTAAATAGATATTCATGCCTGCGGACGTTTATTATTTTCGAAAATAATTAACTGGATGAAAATCTATTATCTATTTTGATTGTACGCATACAGAAGGGTGTATTTAATATTTTCGTATTAGCCCAAAAATACAGGATGCAGATTATCTAACCAGGAACACCAGGTGGCATTATAGTCGTTATCCTCTCTGGCTTATATTCTTTAGAGCCCCAAAGAATACGAGAGGATTTTTTTGAATACAAAGCGGGGAATACAATCCTCTGTATTGTTGGTTTTCAATCAATATATACCATTGAAATTTGATTTTTGTCTATTTTTCCCAATAATATATCTGGCGCAGGTAGCAAAATGGATTAGTTTGTGTCCTCTGTATTGTTTGCCAATGGGAAACAAATTTCTGCCAACTGTATGTGTGTACGAATATAATTTTCGATTTTGATAATTCAAAGAATGTATTTGTTAGGTCTCACTATTGGGTTATTAATTAAATTAATAATTAAGAATAATTTAGGATTTAAATTTAAGTTGAACATGTTATAAAAATACTGCAAAAAATGTACCTACTTAGACACCAGAATAATGGGTATCCTAATCTCCTTGAATTCGAATTTAAAAAGATATGGATTTTAGGAGAGTATTTTATGTGCGATGTTTCGCGTTAATGATATAAGTGTGGTTCTTCGGGCACTTTTTGTTCCAAGTAATAAATTCCTACTGATGGTGAAAAACAAACAGCGGAACATAAACATCATCAAACGACAAATTAAAACAGTCACATTATTATTATTATTATTAGATAAACATTTACCAACTCACAGTATCCAGTACCTACTACATCATCCATTAAATCCAAACTTCAGCATGCTCAAATTATTTTATCATTACTATGTAAAAAATTTGATGTTTCATCTCATTAAAACACAGTTGTCTATATTTTTATCATCTCCTATAAAAACGCTCCTTAGAGCTACATCAGACGCAATATACTTTTAGATAGTCATTAAGGTATTTGCTTATTAGCGCTTTCACTAATTGGACTGTAAAAAGCATTAGCGCGTCAGCGACAAAATCTTCTTCAGTTTTCTTCCACTTTTGTGAACAGACAACAAGAGCTATAGGAATATTATTCTTAATTACTTTTCAGGCTAGTTTCAATTAATTTAATAATAATTTTTACTGGGTTCTTGAACATTTCATAAGTTTAATCCAGATTATCTAGGTAGGTACCTATTTTTAAAAGCTGTTTGGCATCTCA